TATTTCCTTCTTCTTTATAGCTGAATAATACTCCATTGTGTAAATGTACCAAAGTTTCTTAATCCAGTCATCTACCGATGGGCATTTTGATTGTTTCCAAGTCTTAGCTATTGTGAATAACGCTGCAATGAACATAGGGGTACATATATTTTTTCGGATTAATGTCTTGGGATTTTTTGGATAAATACCTAAGAGTGGTATTGCTGGGTCATAACAGGCATATGAAAAAATGTTCAACATCACTTAGCATTAGGGAAATGCAAATTAAAACCACAATGAGATACCACCTCATCCCAGTCAGAATGGCTATCATCAATAAATCAACAAACAACAATTGCTAGTGAGGCTGTGGGGAAAAGGGAACCCTGCTGCACTGCTGGTGGGACTGCAGACTGGTGCAGCCATTATGGAAATCAGTATGGAGGTACCTCAAAAATCTGAAAATGGAACTACCTTATGACCCAACTGCAGGTTTTTAAACATATGTAATTCTTTGATTGTTGCAGACTCACCCAATGAATTGATAGCTTCACGAGAGTAGGGACCATTTCTGGTTTTGCTCAATATTGCCAGCATCTCGAAACAGTGACTGACATAGCAGGCAATCAGTGACAATTTGCTCGATGAATCCATAATATGAACGTGCAAGTTTATAAGCACTAGGAACACACAACCTTGAACTTTCAACAAAAGACTAACATAAAACATAGTTCAGAATTTTACTGAATGAACTAGTAGAGCAGAAATATGTTATAGAAGGTTTTAAGTGTTGAGAATGCTTGCGTGTTATTCAATGTAAGGTATTGCCAGAGAGTGTACAGTCGTGGGAAGGTAGTTTTGAAATTTCTTTTAAATTAAAGCTGGTGAATAAAAATTCGGATTAAAATTACTAGGTTATTAAAAATATACACAAAACATCGCTTAATCTGTGAAGTTAAGCTTTTAATTAAAAGGTTTTTTAATTCCAAATTTAATGATAGCTAACCATTTTGTGATTGCAATTTCTCTATGTTCTGATAAATTGCAAATAGGAGTTATCTTACTGTATCCTGAGAGAGATGAACTAGAAAGTAAAATGCCTCCTTTGTATATATGAGTTGTACAAAAATCAATTCTTTTTGCAGTATGAACTTTTGTATAGGCTGCAAAGAATGAGAACAATGGAGTGGGGGGGGTTGATTTTTTTTTTTTTTTTTTTTAGCTGAGCCATCCCGCCACCTGTTGGCAGCTCACGGCTGCTCAGCTCGGGCTGACTCGAACCGCTGTTGCTCAGAGCTCAAACTCTTGAGCGAGCTCTTAACCAACTGAGCCACTCAGCCGGCCCAAGGGGGGTTGATATTTTTTATCGAAAACTAAATTATTAAACCACACATACTCTCAGGCTGTTGTGTCAAGTCACTAGGATGTGGATAAAAAGGCAGGTATTTATTGAAAAAAAAAAACCCAAAACCACCCATACACTGATTTCTGTAGGTGTTCAGTCCCAACTATTTAGTTTACAGATGCTATTTGATTCACAGATTCATTTCCCCAATAAGGCCCATTTACTAGGCTCTGTGCAGTAGCCACACTCATTCACCTCTTCCATAAATTTACAAATGCAAGCCTAAGTTACCCTCAGAACAACCAGGTGTGGAAGGGAGAAAGATGCCCAGGCCAGAAAAGTCCAGTGCTACGAAGAAGCACCCGACAGCAGGGCTATTCTACACAACTTGGTGCAGTAATTTCATAGTGGGCTTAAATTCCAATTTCAGTAACTCCCTTCCCCAGAATTTGGAGGTAATGTCAAGGACAGAAACGAAAGTTGCTGGAGTCAAATCATGAGATCTCTTTACGAAAGAAAGCACCATCCCAGAGATGTGATCAGGGTGACTCTCGTGTGTGGTCAAGATTGTGGGTACATCCGGGACTGACATGGAACTTCTGCCATGAGAACTTAATCGTTCAGGTCTAATCCAGTGCCCTTCAAACTGGGGTGTGCTTCACCCTGGAGGAATACAAAGAATTTCTAAGGGATATGTGAGCTCAGAGACAGTTTTTAAGAGAATCAGTTGTCAGACTTCCAACTTCCAAATACAGTAAAACCTTGGATTGCGAGTAACGTGGTTTGCGAGTGTTCCGCAAGACAAGCAAACATTTCTAATACATTTTAACGTGGTAAATGAGCGATGTCTTGCAATACAAGTAGTTTGTTTCCGGAAGGAATTATGCTTGCAAACCAAGGTTTTACTCTATACTCTTTTTCCCAGAATTGCTGCTCTTCTCAAGCTGGTTTTCCTTTCCCACCTCCCCTTTCACAAGCCCCTTTCTCCCACTTCACCAAAAAGGGCAAACCTTTCACCCATCCCTAATCTAACTATTACATTGTCCAGATGGAAAAGGGAACTGGAGACACACAGAGAAAGCGAATGTCACCAGTCACACTTGGTAGCTACACTTCTGTAGCTAGAATGGTCTCCAGCTTTTGCCTTCAACAAAACTGAAGAGAGACCTAATTGAAATGTCACTTGATCATTAAAAATAATTTTCAATGATAGATCACTAAGGGTTTTTTGCACATAACTTGGAAGGAGTTTAAAGAATTTTGTGACATAGCTAAAACAAAACCCCTTCTATTCTCATCATCATTTTTTGTGACCAAATGTTCTCAGCACATATTCAAAAGAAGAGAAGGGGGAGTAAAATGTGTGACAAACCCTTTCTCCCTGTAGCAAACAAATTCTTGGCACATTATTAGTTGAAAAAACTCAGCTAATTAAGGAATGTATTTCCAATAAGTGTCATGTTTAGAATCAATATATTTATGTTGCTTTGATCCAATGTGTACTAATAATTATGGTAACTCATTTCAGGGTATTTTTATAATATTTAGGGTCATAGAAATTTTTTAAATTAAAATTAAATTGATAATAGACTTCTGAGTATAAATTATAATACTCTGGGGAAGTGGAATAGAAATAAAGGGATAATGTACATTTTCCAACTCAAGGTATTTTTAAATGAATGATGGGTATCAAGTAATTATGGTATACAGATTCCATTGAATGGATTTTCTAAGAAGATACAAATTTATTTTGCTGTGTCAATATTTACAACACGCCAGAAATGACATTCATTACAACAACTTGAACTTACAATGAAAATATCTCAGATGCTACCTTAAGAATGCATAAAAGAGTACATAGTATTTCACAGCTATTTTGGGGAGGACACTGGCCTCGCTCAGTGTTTCCCAAGTGCTATTTTTCACCAGTTGGTGGTGAAATGAAAAACAAAGACAATCTAGAGAGTTTTTCATAAAGGTAAGTTTGTTCAACTTAAAAGACTGCCTAATATTCTGAAATTATATTCTTTTTGACATATATATTTTTAAATGTTTTGTTGAAATTTTTTTTTTTAATTTTTGGGTGGCAGTGTGTTTTTTCCAGGACCCATCAGCTGCAAGTCAAGTCATTGTCCTTCAATCTAATTGTGGGTGGCGCAGCTAAGTCACCAGTTTCAATCTAGTTGTGGGAGGGCACAGCCCACCATCCCATGCAGGAATCGAACCGGCAACCTTGTAGTTCAGAGCACGCATTCTAACCAACTGAGCCAGTTGGCTGCCCCCTTTTTGACATTTTAGACTGAAGCTATATAGTTTGAAATTATGATGTTAATGGATGGTAGCATTTTAAACAAATGTTCTTCGTTGCTCCCCAAATTGTTTTAAAAAATGTTGTTTTTTTTTTTTTTTACTAATTCACAAAATTCAAAACCGTGAGAGAGCCACGGATCTAATGGAATGTAAAGGGGAATATTTTATACATCAGAATGTTCTGGAATTATTGAGGAATGGAGACAGCCAATTTACCACCTAGTTTAATGGACACAGGCAGCAACCAGTTTAATGGTATTGTTTTAATTTCTACTGTGTGCCAGATACTAGAATTTAATAGATAAATAAGATTGTTCCAACCACCAAAACACTCACATTTCAGTGAGGAAGAGGAGCATATAAATTAATTATAATGGTTAAGTGTTGATAGAGATATGTAGAAATTGCTATGGAAACATGGAGGATGGAACGTTGCTGGTTTGAAAAATTGAATTGGGAGGGAATATAGATCTTTGAACAGGGTTTTGAGATACAGATATGAAATCTGTCAAAATAAAAGTGGAAATTTTAAGTAATTTAGTGTTATTGGACTATACAAATATTGGAGGTGAAACTTGAAAAGAAAGGAGAAGGAGAGATCAATAAAGTTTGGATTTTATCCTGAAAGCAGTGGGGAGACTGAAAGATTTTTAAGCAAGGGAACAACTAAGTCAGATACTTCTTAATAACATCTAATTCCTAATTATATGCTCATTGAACAATCTGATCTTTAATTTGGCCTCCTATGTAGTTTCACCCACTTGGAAGAAATTCTCTTTGTAGACAAGATAGGTTATCCTGCCAGATAAATGTTCTATTGAAAAGTAATGAATTCTCTGTCTCTTCTGAATTTGATTGGCTTGAGGTAGTGTATTTTAAATACAGTGATATCAAGCTAGGTTTGGGATATCCATACCTGATTTGCAGGTCTGAGACAATATTATTGAGATCGACAAGTTATTTCCCCCTCTGGGTGAGAAGTCCTGAGTGAGAAGCTAATAGGACTTCTAACAACTTTCTCTATGGTACCCTGAAGACTACATACCCATCAGCCTCCCACCTCTCAGACGTACTGAGAATTCCATAGTCATGATGGCAATAATTTCATGAAAGATGGTAATGATGCTTTACAATTCCTTAACAAACTTCCAGAAGTAAAGAGGATGCTCTTCCAAACATTTGTGATCAACCAACCTAAAATCTGCCTCACACTTTTAGGTGTTCCCCTTGCAACCAGAACCATAAAGGTGGCGGTGCCATGGCGCCTCTGTTCTCAGAAGGAGTGGACCAGACCGTGAGGGTGGAGAAGGAAAAATCCCTAAGTCCCTTTGGATAAACGGCTCAGAGTGGTTGCATTGCTTAAACAGTGGCTCAGCAGAGCCGTCTGCGTGAACAAGGACTGTCACCGTAAATGAGGTAAGTTGTTTTCCTGTTGGAGAGAAGAGAATGAAGTCATTAATTGTGCCTTGATACGTTTTGTGACTGCGCCCGAGGCGTATTTCCCCAGGCCAGGCACGGTCAGTGTTGTCCTGTGCAAAGTCATTATGCCTCGCTGGTCAGTGGAACAATTAGGCTCATTGAACAAGCACAATTCAGGTACAGCCTCCTTTTTTCTTCTGTTTAAGCAACCTAACCCAACCACCGTGGGATTCTGTTGTTGACTCTTAAACAGTTCAGGATTTTCAGGTTTGCTCAGGACACATAAATGATCAATTTGTGATTCAGAGATTTTGCCCTTCTCACATGTTCCATGTTACTTTAGTTAATACGTTGACATCTACAACGATATTCACAATGCTGGGCACTGGGCACACAGTTTTAACTTAAGGACTTCAGTTTTCATATTGTGAGGCTTGGGAAATTTCCTAATATCTCTACACCCTGTTTTTCTCATTTGTAAAATGGAGCTGCTACTAGAATGGTAGTAACCTCATAAATCTGTTGTGAAAATTTGAGTGATCTGTGTAAAGCGCACACAGCTCAGTGCCTAGCAAATATAAAGCAACATATTAATTTATTCAACTGTTCAAATACTTACTACATGCCTGGTGCCGTGCTAAGTGCTGGAGATAAAATGGTAAACACAAGCAGACACAGCTCCTGCTCTCAGGAAATGGGCAGTCTAATGGAGGAGAATGACAATCACAAAACAGTAAAAAGAAGGGGAGAAGAGAGAAGGGCCTGGTGCTTCGGAGCTTGAAACAGATCTGACTTGATTATTAGGGCGATCAGATGGGACATCTCTGGGGAAATGACCCTTGCACTGGCATCTGAAGGATGACTGAGAGAGAATTCGGTGAAGTGGAGAAGGAAGATAGCTTTCCAGCCTGTGCAGAGGCCTGCAGAGCCACCAGCCATCACTTGCTGGAAGGATGGAAAGCAAGCCTGAGAGGCTGGAGCCGCTGAGGGGAGCAGGATGTGAGGGAAGGTGGGTGTTAGATGAAGCGAGTGGGCGCCACTGCGCAGGGCCAGGCAGCAGCTTTAAGTTCGTCTTTTTTTTTTTAGTCTATAAACAATAGTAATTTATTTCTCACAACGCTAGAGGCTGGAAGCCCCAGATCAGAGTACAAAGCATGGCCAGGTTCTGGGGAGAACCTCTTCCAGTTGCAAACTGCTGATTTCTCACTGTGGCTTCACATGGTGGAAGGGGCCTCGTTTATTTTAAAAGAGCGATGGAAAGGGCTTTTGAATGAGGTAGGAGGAAGGGGCAGCATGAGGTGTGATCAGTTGGACTTTGAGATCATCTTGGCTATAGAATGGATAAGAAGAGGACCAGAGGAAACAGAGGCACTGTAAGAGATGATGAAAGCTTGGAGCAGGGGGCGGCCAGTTAGCTCAGGTGGTTAGAGCGCAGGCTCATCACACCAAGGTTGCCGGTTCGATCCTCACATGGGCCACTGAGCTGCGCCCCCCCCCCCAGCTAGATTGAAACAACTACAGTAATACCTTGGTTTGCGAGCATAATTTGTTCCGGAAGCAAACTACTCGTATTGCAAGACATCGCTCATTTACCACGTTAAAATGTATTAGAAATGTTTGCTTGTCTTGCGGAACACTCGCAAATCATGTTACTTGCAATCCAAGGTTTTGCTGTACTTGACTTGGAGGTGATGGGTCCTGGAAAAACACACTCTTCCCCAATAAAAAAATTTTTTTTAAAAGAGCTTGGCGTAGGTTGGTAACGGTACAGGTGGAGAGAGCGGGGTATGTTTGAGAGAGATTTGGGAGGGAGCATTTACAGAAGTTGGTGATGGGTGGGACATGGGAATTAAAAGAGGAGAAAGTGTTGAGGATGGCTCTTAGGTTTCCGACACCATTCACTGCGACAGGTAACATCCGAAGAGCAAAGTTTGGGGATAAAATGACATATTTTTGGAAATCTGTTTAAAGTTCTTTTGAGATATTTAACAGGATACATTAAGTGTGCTAGAGCTCATAGAATACATATATCATAAGTACATATATGTGTGTACACACACGCACATACATAGATGTCATGTGCATATAGGTAGTGGCTTTGCATCTGTAATGGACATACTGCTGCCCCTGCTTCATGGAGTGTTGTAAGAATTGAGTTGGAGATGACGTACATAAAGTGCCTCAGTATATTTAAATAACTATGCTAGGCTCAAAGAGAGCAAGGAAAAGGGACTGGGCTCAGTGGTGGTAGAGTCACGTGGAAACGTGTTAGGCAGATAGCGGCCTGACTCTAGCGTGGTGCACAGAACGGTCTGGTATATCTCACTCCCCATCACTAGACCCTGTTAGTCAGCTACTTAGATGTTTTCCGAACGAACAGCTATGGCATCTGAGGACTGGAGAGGCTCTTATTAATACTAATTACAACAGAATAGCATTCCGGGGATGTTTTCATGAAAATCCGTGGACATTTATTGAGGGTCACTAGTCCTGCGTGGTACAGTCAGAAAGATTCCTGGAGCTGAAGAGCAGACGTTGACCACAGAAAGAAGTGGAAAGGTGTGCTCTAGGAGGAGAGAGGAATACAGGGACTAACTTAAAAAACAAATCAACAACAACAATAAAAATACAAAAAACAGACATAAAAGCACAGTGGGATGAAAGAAGCGACATTGTCTTAGAATTAATATCTTTTGGGGAGTGACGGGAGATGATACTGGGTGAGTCAGGGGCCAAATGATGGAAAGCAAGTAAGTGATGGGGACCCAGGGGAAGAGTCTAAGCAAGGAAATGATGTGATTAGACTTGCGTGTAGACAGAAAGGTTCAGACCATCACATAGACCGGAGTGGTATTGAAGTCTGGAGACATGGGTATAGTGAAGATGCAATTGCAGTAGAACAGGTCAAAGACAAAAGGTCGATGTCCAGGAGGCACTGGAGAGTAGCCTGGATTGGAAGTGTTTAGTTACGTATTTGGGAGTTACCAGCTCATAATGGGTAATTAAAATCAAAGTAAATGCACTAAACTCAGGAGAAGATATCAAGTGAGAAGAGATACAGAATTTAAAAAGAACCCCGCGAAACAGCATCATTTGATGAACAGGTACAAGAAGGGGATCCTGAGAAGGTTTCTCATCCACTAATCCCATTCTCAAAAGTTCCTTTTTATATCTCACTTAGCTCTCTCGTGCTGTAATCCAAGTCAATTTCTTCTGTTCACTCTGCAGTTGAGATAGAAAGCAGCTGTTCATCATCTTGTCTGTAAGCGCCCTTCCCATGCTCGAATACTGTTATTAAGCAACCTGGTCGTCTTCTCTAACTTAGGCTAAATAATTTCTAGCTCCTATTTTTTCCAACCCTTTAATCATCTCTGTGGCTCCCTGTTGAACCCCTTCCACTTTCTCCACGTCCCTCTTTGAGTTGAGCCTGTTGCTGGCCCTTGTACTTTTGAGATTCTCTTTCAGGATCATGGAAGAATTTTCTTAAATATCTTCTATGGTAACTTGATATACTCCCGTGCTGTGCTTGGATTTGCTGTGTGTTAAATACAGGAGGTCTAGTAAACCGGCTCACTGTGGCTACTTATGTCTAACCAGCTAAGTTTTTGTATTTATTGTTAACATTCAATCCCTGTTGATTGTGACATTTCAGAGAGGTAACTCTCAGTGTCCTCATGTGACAGTGAAATGAGTTGATCTGCTCCTGGTCTCGTGGGTCTCCGTGTGGGTCGCATGCACGAGCTTTGTACCCCACATACTTCCATAACATGACATGGACCAAGAGTGTGTGTTTCATCTCCCCTTTCTTGTTTTAACTGTAAATTCAGATTAAACTGTAAACATGGCAGAGCCTCCCTTGTGTCACTTACCTCACGTCTGTCTCCCTTACTCCGCTGTGAGCTCTTTGAAGGAGGGGCACCATTCTGGTTATTTTCATATTCTCAGCTCACTTTTTTGAACTCAAGGAAAACATACTGGATGCCTGCCTCAGCTGTGTGAAAGGCGAGTCTTGTCCGGCAGTGGCACCCCAGCTCGGTGGTAGTCATTTAGCTATTGCTGAGCAGCATGGTCAGAAGGACTCTGAGGCAGCGTCCTGGATCATCAGAAAATGCGGTGGCAAGGTGGAATTGCTGGGATTTAGAATGTGAATTGCTATTGCACACTGTTTGCCATGGACCCGGGACGTAGGAGACCAGGACAGGTAGCCCGTACTAGCCATTAACAGCAACAGTGTCGTCTTGGTCCCATACTCATAGACTACTCCTATAAGAAAGAAAACAGCCTTTTGTTTGGTTTATAGATCATAGCGAAGACAGCAGAAACCTCAGAGGTCATGGCTCTACTTAAAAAAAAAAATCTGTCCACCCACGCATTTTGCACAATTGCACAAGGTCTGTTTTTAGCAGCTTTTGGAAATTGTGTGAGTGCTAATCTGCGTGATTGCCACACACGGCTCTGAAATGTTAATTCTAAGAGTTCATGGTTCTTTCCTTGAAGCCGCTCAGAAGATAGTTTTGATTTCATGTAAAAGTAGAAACGACAACAGTAGAAGTGTTATTTTTTAATTAATCGAATTCAGCTGCCACTTTAAAAGTTCCACAAGCAATCTTATGGTGCAATTGCTAAATGTTACTTTGACAGCATATTGTCAAATGATTTATTAATAGACAAAGAGCTGGATTGCTAAAAATTTAGTGACATCTTTGCCAGACAGGTAGAGTTTGGTATAAAAGCTGAACTAAACGATAAAACAAACTGAAGAATTAGTATGTCAGGGGTATTGTCGAGCCCCTGGAATGTAGGAAGTAGGCCAGAAGAACTGTCAAATGCATTCAACTTTAGCTACTTTTGTTTGCTTTTGTTTTGTGTTTCTTCCCTTAACATGAGCCTCTGTGTGTAGGCTTTGGAGAACAGCCTCAAAGATTATATATAAATTAGTGACAAATCAGGGAGGTTGACCCACTCGTGACAGGTTCTGCATCTCTAGCTCACAGTGAACGGTGGACACAAGCACTCTACAGTATAGCTTCAGCGAGCCGAGAGGGAGAAACCCTCCCTCCACGTTCTTGCTGTGTTACTAGATCATCGACACAATTTTAACGATCACTTGGTCTAGCGCTACATCCCAGACTTTCTCCAGAGCTGCAGGTGGCCTGTTCCATGGATGCCTGAGGTATGCAGGAACACCTCGGCCTCCGCAAGTTGAAATTACTGAAGCCATCACTTCCTGTCAAACCTCCGCCTTCTCCTCTTGCACTTGGCACTGGCGCTGCGCTTCGCAGCTGTCTTTCACTCTTGTGGCTCCCACATTTCCCACATTCAGTCCGTCACCAAGTCTTAGTATACCCCCTAAAGAGTCCCTGAATCCTTTTCCTGCTCTCCTCCCGGCCCGGCCCGCACTGCCCTGTCCAGGCTCTGCTCCGCCTCCCTCCTCGGGGACCTGGCACGTCCTCTTCACGAGCCTCCGAGTCTCTGGCCTGGCCCCGTCCACATCTTACCATTTTGTCTTTCTATTTAAAAAGTGCAGGGACTCCTCATTGCTTGTAAGATAAGGTTCCAGCTCCTTACCATGGAATTCAGGAATTCTGTGATCTCGCCCCCATCTGTCTATTTTAATCCCCCTCCACTTCTTGTTTTGAATGCACCTCTCTAACAAGTCTGCTGTTTCTTCTCTGTCTCTGCCTCTGGAACACCTTCCCCCTTTTTATCCTCTTCCTCGTCATTTGGTTAATTCCTAAGTATTTAATAAAACTTAACCTCAGCTACCATCTCTTCCTAGAAGGTCTTTTCTACCTACCTACTTACCTACACACACACACACACACACACACACACACACACACACGCACACACACACACATGCACCCCCACCCCTGAGCCATTAGAATCCCCAGGACCCATGCCTGTCTTTGCCCTAACCCCACTGTGTTAACATGCTTCTCTGCACCATCATACTATGAACTCTCTAAAGGGACCTCACGTCCTATTTACCTTTGTATCCGTTCACACCAGCATGGTGCCTTACGCTGGTCATCGTTCTGTAGATGCTGACTGAAAGGAAGTGACAGAATGTATTATTATTGGTGCCTGCAACAGAGCAATTAGCTGATAGCTGAGGTTCTAAAATAAAATGAACAGGACACCACTTGCTCATTTGCAGTCGTGGAATCTACGCCTGCCTTTGCCTAGTAACTTTTCCCTGTTTGTTCCTACAGGTTAATGACTTAGTTTCCCTGCTAACATGTTTTATGATTCTGTGTGTTTGTTAAATTGTCTACATATGTACTTGTGCAAGGATTTTATTGAAACATCTTAAATGTTATGAGAGAACCATGATTTTAACTATCAGGTTTAAAATCTTTATTAATATTTTTGTTTTTAAAAAGAAAATCATGGACCTACTTCTTTGCTTATTTTGGTGTACCTGATGAATTTTAGCAATTCATTCTTGGAACATTTTGCATTCTATTTTTGCTAGAAAACAAGTTCTTCATATTTTGTTCACTGAAAATTATGCAAGCATGTCCCCATGACTAAAATACCAATCTTGCCATCTTTGGCTGATTCGTAGGGCTGTTGGATCGACGTCAGTGCCCCGGAGATTTCAGTGAGAGGGCACTAAGGCATCAGAGGGACCTCGGTTCTCAGTTAGAGCTCTTTATTCTCACCTTGAAGTTTTACCTGAGATGAATTTAAAATGGGATCGTTTAAGGTGAACTTTACTTTTCACGGATAAGGGACAATCCTGGGAAAAGGTGCCTCGTTCTTGAACTCACATGAAACAAGAAATTTCTCTGTCTTCGTAAATACTATATGCAATTATGCCTTCTGTGTTACTTTCTAAAGGATTTTGCCATTTTTAACATTCTCTTTCAGTTAGATAAAGTCTTTAAGGAGTCAAGAATTTCGCCTAGGTTTATGTTTCTTTTAACTCATTTTTACAGTCAGAATAATAGTGTCATGAATATCATACATTTTTAATAGATGTATTGGTGAGTAAACAAAGCAACCAGTCAATGACATAAGAAGGATGATGTGCTTAAATTTTTCTGTGTAATAACTTATTTATATTATGGCGGAGATCTATTGTTTTGCTACCAAGCAGTCCTTCTCGTGGGACACCCCCCCCCCCCCCCCCCCAGCAACACACACACACACACACACACACACACACACACACACACACACACATACACACCTTGATTTTTACCAGAGCCACCAGGTTCCCATGTACCCAGTGAATCTCAGACTTTTTGAACTTTTGATCTAGAAAATAAGGTCAAGTGCTTTCTAACGGTTGAGATAGATGATAAGATGTAAAGTCTGGATGGTGTTAGTGGTAACGTAGTGGTCTAAAGTGTAGGCTCTGAACTTGAGGAGGTTTCCACTGGCCAAAGGTGGGGCAATTTGAGCATCGATAAAAAGAAATGCAATGGATTGAAACAAGCAAATGTGCTAGAATCTATGAGTTCATAATGATAGAAAAAATATTAATTGCTTACTTTCGCTAGGGAACCAACTCATTATTTTGAGCAATAGTTAATAAAGGAAGAGCGTCAAGGATTTATCTTGCCTTCCTTGAATTTGCTGCTAAATAGTTAATGAAGAAAATTTTTTCTCTATAGAACTGTTCCAGCTAATAAATGAAGAAGGAATGATCGACTAGATTACACTCATTTGCAAACCCCTAATGGGCTATGCCGTAGACTATCCACTCCCCACACATGGTTACGAGACGTGGTATAAGCACTGGTGTGCTGGTAAGTGTTTCATCACCGGCTCTCTGAAATGGAAAAAAAAGTTATGCAACAACTGTAAATTTTAATGCTGACTAGATAGTTGATGATACTAAGACATTATTGTCAATTGTTAGGTCTAATAATGGTGCTGCCGTTGTGTTAAAAATTCTCTTTTAGAGATATGCACTGAAAAATTTATGGCTGAAATGAAATTATGTATGGGATTTGCTTCAAAATTATCCAGCGCCAATGGGGAGTGATTGGTGGTGGTGGTGATGGAGGGGTGGGAGGGCAATATATGTAACCAATGTGGATATAAGTTGATTGTTATTGCTAGATAATTAGTCCACACATGGATTAATTGTACTAGTCTCTCTGCTTCAGCATATCTTTAAAATATGACATAATGAAAAGCTGAGTGTGGGCTCTGGCAGCAGACTGCTTGGGTTGAAATCCTGGCTCTGTCCCTTTTTAATCCTATGACTCTAAACAACTTACTGTTGCTCAATTTCCTCATCCACAAAAGGGATATATGAGTTGGATCTGCTTCATAGGTTATGAAAATTAATTGTTACTCTAACAGAAAGAAAAGGCAGTAGATATGTAAAGGAACAGAGAGTGGAGACTGGAGACTTACAGGGTTCCGGTCTCTGGACCCAATTCCCCAGGATCTACATCAGTCTCTTTAGGTTTCCTCAAACACTCTGGAATCCTCCCAGCCAACCCCCTCTTTGCTTCAGCAGCTTAGACTGTGCCTGTGTGCCTTCCAACTAAAACTGTTCTAACTAGTAGATAAACGCGCGCTTTGAACCCACTATCCTACGAGATGTGAAGCTGATTGTGTGTGCTGGGAGCGCCAGTCTTCTGTTCCTTTTCTGGAGTTACTCCATAGCCTCTCAGCTTGTGCAAGGTACTCAGCTTAGAGCTCGGAAGCCTGTCCCCTCTCCACTGATCGAGTGTGAATCTTAAAAATTAAGGTTAACTTGACTGCTTTATGATTTCATTTCAATTACAAGGTTTAAGGAGGCTTTATCTGTATTTGTGTCCTTCATGCTCCATGACTGTTTCAGCTTTCCTCCTATTATTAATTGTCTCAACCAAGGTGTGCGGCAGGAGGGGGAGACAGCCAGGTGGCCCATCAGTGAGCAGGATTGAACCCTAAACAAAGGCTTAACTTCCATTTGGTTCACCGCTGAACAGGTATGTGATCCTCAGTAACTAATTTTGTCCTCTTTGCAAAGCCCATGGACAGGGGACTTCACAGGGTTCTTGTTCATTTTGTTCTTGGTGAAGTCGCATGTGATGAGTTTTATTGCATATTTACCACTGATCGGGCTCTGTGTTAGATTCTGGGTGCCTGTCAGAACAAGACGGGCGTCATCTCTGTGGTCATGGAGCTGGCAGGGGAACGGCAGACAGCAAATAAACTGAAAATAAACAAAAATTGGGACAGATGGTATGAAGAACACAAGAGGGCAAGAGGAAGAAACTTTACAAAAGGATGAGTATGATAGTATTTCAGCCAGCACCGGAGAAGGAACTAGCTTCGGTAATGGTAGAGCATGAGCTTTTGAGTAGAACAAGGTGTGCAGAAGCTGTGAGCGGGGAAAGACTTAATAGCACTGGAGGAAGGAAAAGAAGAGTCTTGCCAGGAGTGAAGTGAGCAAGCGAGGAGAACGGGGTGAGGTTATGCTGGAGGTGGGCAGGGGCCAGCGCCCAGGGGCCCTGTAGGCTAGAGGAAGACATAGGACTATGATGCAAAGGCTTACAGGATAGCTGAGGGCTGTAAACCAGGCCATGACATAATCTGATCTCAGTTGTTCTACCCGTGGTGTGAATAATGGAGTAAAATAAAAGCCCTCCATGGTAACCCAAGAGAGCAAGGTGAAGGCCTGTGCTAGGGAATGGCAGTGCAGGGAAAGAGAGTAGACAATACTTAAGACATATTCTGGGGGTAGAAATAATGAATTGAGCAAACTTGGGAAACTGCAAAATGCTGCGTACACTTTGAGTTTTACCACCACCCCTGAGCCTTGTTGAGGTAAGGGCTGTGCCGAGTTCCTCTGCCACCAGTGGGACTTCATTGCATCTGCTCCTGGTATCTGTCTCCTGTCTTATCCAACCAAATGGGCTTCTTAAAACATTTTACCTTCTTCTTAAATTCTCAATACAAAATTCATGTATTCGTGAAAGTCATTAAACAAAAAATATTGAGCTCTTAGCATAAATGTATGCAGGTAGCCGATTTGAATATAAATTGCTCCAAAGCTTCATTATTATTTTCATTCAAAGATATACTTGCTCTGTAAATGGCTTTTTAAATACAAAAGGAGCTCCTTTATCAAACTATGAGAATTATGTGCTGACATAAGCAAAGTATGTTGATGGAAAATCACAGAACAGAATCGTAATTTACACTGGAATTGAAGGTTACAGAGACTCAAAGTATTTTTATGTCTAAATAAATAATGACAAACTAACTGAGTAAAGAAAATTAAGAATAACAATTGCATACAAATGTCTTTGATTTTATAACCTTTCTTTTAGTAATAAAATGTAGTACAGGAAATTAATCTTAGTGAATTTTTCTATACCTTAGTGAACCCCAATATGCTTCTGTACAAAGAGGCTCTCCTTACCCTCCAAAACAAAACTCAAAAAAAAAAAAGAAAGATAAATGGATAAATGGTTTTTTGCTGTGATTAAACCCTAGTGCTAATTCTTTGAGGAGTTTCTGAATTTCAAATAGATCCAATCACTCCCAAATAATGACAGACAGCTAGCCTATCTGCTGCTTCAAGTCCCAGCCTTTGTTCAAAGTAAACGGATTAACATTTTCATTGTTGAGATTTTCTCCAATCTAGGTTCACTAGATTATCAGCAATGAGCCCTCCTTAGCTCTTTCCACCCCCCTCCCC